ATTACAAGTCTAACAAAAAGTTTTGGATGACATCAGTTTTATTTGAAGACTATGTAAGAAAATTGGATCGGAAATTCTTCGCTAAAAAAAGAAAAGTGATACTCTTTATGGATAAATGCACAGCACATAGTGATCTACCTAATTTAAAAGCAGTAAACTTGCAGTTTCTCCCGCCAAACACAACATCAAAGTTGCAGCCGATGAACCAGGGTATCATAAAGTGCTTCAAACAGTCTTATCGTAAATGGCTTGTCAGAAAAATGATCTTAAATATTGTAAGCAATTAGAAGATTTGAAATTATAAGCATTAATTAAATAATCCGACAATATTTTGAAAGTCCAAAACCGAATCTAACGGTAAGTCGAACTTCCGATATGTCGAAGTTTTTCGTCAGTCCTATCAGATTCGAGTTATCGCGAATTCACTGTATCAAGTTTTGGCAAGCCAAGGCTGGCTAAGTTTGATCCAATTTTCTGGAAATATATTGATTTGCATTGATTTTTTTTCATTGACAAGCAAACTATACATAAAAAATAGAATTATATTTGTAAATAAGCTTTTTTTTTTTACAAAAGTAACAATGTTTATAGAACAAATTATTTAAATTAAGAATGTTTTACTACAAACTATCCATCTTCAGTCACTTTTTTTGATCAATTTTTTAGAAAATGCCGAATCTTAATTTGTGTCACCAGTATTTTAACAACGCTTTACTTTTTACTAAATCTATCCTAAATATATATATACACTTAAGCTTTAATGTGGCTGTGTACATTTCTGGCAATAAAGCATTTGTGTTATTTTTGATGAAAAGAAACCAAATTTTTTCTTTAAAAAATCATTATTAAAAAAACCCCAATTTTTTAAAAAAAAAAAACTTTCTGTTGTTGAAAAAAATCCAGTTTTTATGCGAGGTTTTCTGTTAAGAGTACCCTAACTAAGTGAAGGACACAATATAGCTATATCAGTTTAAAAAATGTAAATATTAAAGGAAATTTCAATGGTTGAATTGTTGATAATTGGTTCTGTTGGCGAATGACCACTGTTCTAAAACATTAATTTATACTTTTCTTTTTTTGAATTAACTTTTTGTCTTAATTTCCATTAAATATGCTCTGGTCATGATATGAATTGATTTCGTGTCAATTTGGGGGAATTTTCGCCAACTTTCTTTGTTGGCGAGATTTTCCACAAGTACCGCTTTTGTATTTTTATGTATATGGATTTTGATACTATTTTGCTATTCCAAATTGATAATTTTAGAATTATTCTCCAACATTTCTATTTTAATTATTAGATTCAAGAGATAGTGAGAAACTTCAACATTGATGTCAGTAACCTGTGTCAGTTTTTACCTCAGGAAAAAGTAAAAGAATTTGCCATGATGGACAAGAAAGCAAGATTAAAAAACATGCTTCAATGTGTATGTAATTTTTTTTTATCTCTATTATTTATTTATTTATGTATGTATGTACGTACGTATGCTTAACATACATACGTATGTACATATGTATGTATATATGTATGCATGTATTTACGTACGGCCTTTCATCCCTTCAGTGGATAAAATGAGTTCCAAGCATGCTTGGGACTTAACGCTAGGCGTTCCATGTTCGACTGACCACCCCACCGGAGCATTTGCTCCTGCGCCCTAGAGCCCAAGGGCAAGAAATGTGAGATAGGCACGGTAGGTCTTGGACTTTTATGGACTGTTGCCCCACTGAGTTTAGTTTGTGAATCATAAACTTTAAATTATCCAGTTTAATATTGTTACCTTGCTCACATCCATTTTCGGGCCAATTCAAGGTAACTGACAAATCGAGCATGCTTCAGTACCGCACACTACAGTTAAGTACGCGCCATAAAAGATCTCTCTGTTTATGTTTTTAACCCTCTATTTGTGCTTCGGTTTTCATATTTTGTAATCTGGCAGTTTTGTTACGAAAATATTTTAAATATTCTTATGAAATTCTGGATGTACAAGTTAATATGAATTTGCTACTCGCTTTAAAGAATGCATTTTATATTTTATTTTGTGTTTTTCTTAAATTTTATTTTCTACATTTTGCTTGATATGTTTTATTTCTATATTTTTTTACTTAATGTCTTCTATTTTAATTTTTTTGGGTGTTTATTTTGTTTTCTTCTTTTTAATTTTTCTTTATAAATAAAAATTTTTTAAAAATATTTTTAAATTTAGTTTATTTTAATAATTTTTCTTATTCTCTTCTCATTCATCTTTGTTTTATTATTTTCCATGTTTTCTCTATATTTTTAATTTATATATATTAATAATTAATTAATTAAATTTGATATGCTATTACTGCCATTAATATATTTGTTATATATTTGTATATCCATAATAATATATTTGTTAGTAAATCTTTTTTTACTTACAAAATATATTCAGCAAGTTTTTGTTTACATTGTGTTTTTTTAAAATTTTTTTTTTAAGTGTATTAGTTTTTTTGAACCAATTTCATTGTTATAACTTTTATTTCATCCTTGGGGCTTTTCAAATAGTATGTATGCATGTTACAAAGAATTTGGTCCCTTGTCTCCCTTTCTTTAATAAAAATAGACGAAATAGACTTTTTATTTAAAAATATTCTTTTTTCTCAAATTCTGTTGTTTTTGTGATTTGTTAAAGATTTTTGGTGATTTACAAAATTTTGTGTTTGACATAAGTGTTTTGTGTTACACATTGATCAAACTTTACACCCGAAATTAAGCAAAAAGGAAGTACTTCCATTCATTGGTACTTACGTAATATTTGACGGTTCTCCTAATTGTAACTAACTGTCATGTACAGTAATTTTCCTTTTTTTATTTAAAGATAGGTGATCCATATTTGTTTACTACATACCAAGAGTTAAAGCAATTGAAAATGAAGTCATCAAAACTTGATGAGGAAATAGGGTTATGTCAGAGACATATAAAAGAAGAAAACGACAAGATTGAGCGACTTAAAATTGAAGCAGATAAACATGAACTACAACTTAGATCGATTGAACATTTAAAATCTTTTGAACAGTTAAAACTGTATTTGGTAAGATTTTTATAATCATTGTTTATAGATATATTTATAGATTTAAGTCACTACTTTTTTTTAAAGGATATTTATTTATTGAGTTATTACTTGTATATTGTTTGCACAATTTATTTTTAAAATTGCCTAAACTAAGATGAACTATTTTGGAAACAATTTCCCAAAACTTTCTGGTAAAAATTGATGTAACTAATTTTTAAATTATATCTTGGAAATTTATTCCTAAATTAAAATTTAACCTATTACTTTTTAAGAAATCAATTTTTGAATCTAGTTTTAATTTTTAACTCAACATACTTCTTCAAACTTTTGTAGTTTACAATGACATTTATGATTTTCAAATTCCATTAACTGTTGATCAATCATCATTCATATTATAGAACTACTAAGAAAGATTGAAATAAATTTTTTACCAAATTTTAAAGATTGGATCAAAGAGCTTCATTATTTTTTTAAAAATCTTTTTATTCTTATTTTTTATACTATTGCATTATGGTAATATTTTTATTGTTAAAACTTTTGATATTCTTTTTTTGTTTACTGCTCTTCTTTTAGAGATGTAAAAGTTTAAAGTCTATGATTAAAAATATCTGCAATGAGGAATTGCTTACGACTATATATTTCCTAAAATTGATTATTATTATTTTTTAATAAAAGTCTGTAAACTGTTACTTAGGTTCTTCCTTTAGTTCTAGGTTTAAAAAAATCGTTTAGAGAAGAAAAAAAAATCTTTTATTATAAATAGTTTATTTTGGCTGTGTTATTATATATTTCATGTTAAATTCCAAAATGAAATCAATTTTACCTTTATAAAAGAGTTTAATAATGTTTAAAGTAATGAAAATTTATCACTTGCTGATTATATCAGGCTGATTAAGGAGTTTAGAGCATCTGTAAAAAAAGTAATTTTCTTTAGTATTTTTTTTGCATTACATGCTTCACTTTATGAACAATTTGCTCGATGATTTGTCCCTGCAAAGATATGCTTTTGATTATACTTCAGGACTGATGCAAGTCCACCACATTTTGCTTTTTTACCTAATTTAGTAGTCTTGTTTTCTGAATTATATTTCTTTTATTATAGATTATATTGTTCAGGTTCATGATCTGAGCTTAATTAGGATGTTTATTTCATTAATAATGAGTGTTGTTTATGACACATTATTTAAAATATACTCTCATTCAAAATTTCTAAAGATCTTTAGAAATCACTGCATTTGAAGATAAATTTATTGTCCCCCCCTGAATTGAGTACTTCTGAAAGGATTGCAAAAATTTTTTTTTTCTTGCTTTAAATGTTTGAGATATATATGGATGTATTTTAGAAATTCGTTTGTGTGTTTATTTCATTAATAATGAGTTAATAATGATTAATAATGAACGTTGAAAAAATGTGTTTATTTCATTAATACTGAGTGTTGTTTATGACACATTATTTAAAATATATTCTCATTCAAAATTTCTAAAGATCTTTAGAAATCACTGCATTTGAAGATAAATTTATTGTCTCCCCCCCCCCATGAATTGAGTACTTCTGAAAGGATTGCAAAAATTTTTTTTTCTTGCTTTAAATGTTTGAGATATATCTGGATGTATTTTAGAAAATGTAATTTTTTTTAGGATTATGGTAAAACTCGGGAACATTTTGATGAAATAAAACTTAAAAAGAAATCTTTGAGAAAAATAAGTGAAAAGTTGAATGAAGAAATTCCTCTTATGAAGGATAAAATTAACGTGAAAAGGCTACAATTACGAGACACTTTGGAGCAGTTAAGGGAGAAGGTAAGCTATTTCATAAAATACTATTCATCTTTGGCCACCAGCTTTGTTCTCATTCTATGAATACATTTGAAAATTAATATGCAGTAAAACCCATTAATGCAATTTTTCATGATAAAAAAGAAGAAAATTTCTTAACAGTGAAGCTTTTCATGAGGATACACTAAATTTTTTTGAAAGTGCAAAAGTGTGTATTTATAAGATTGGCATGCAGAAGTTGCTATTTTTGTACTAATTTAATACATATATTGAGTTAGTTATACTTATTGAATTATAACTTTTATATTGCTTAGGTTCTTCATTTTATTTGGCACATAAGGCATCCAGCCTACTTCTTCATGTCCCCCAGTTTTTGGCTTGCTCTAATCTTTTAAATTTTGCTCTTTTGAAATCTGCCTTTATTTGACTGACAAGTTATTCCTGACTTGAAGGCACCCTTCTTCAGAGCCATATTATAAAATTGCCCTGATTATAACTTATATATTTATTAACAGATTTAAATATTAATAAAAAAAATGCTTACTTAAATATTAATGCATGATACAATTCATTCTTCTTTTAGGGGTGGTAGGGAAAAGAAAGAGTCATCTTTTAGAAAACCTCTTTACTGATTCTGCAACTTCAGCAATTCCCTCGCTTTTTTTTAATATTGTTCTGATGATTCATTCTCTTTACCCATTCCATGATTTGCATGACAAAAGTAGGAAATTTTGTGAAGAGGGGAAATAAGGGTATATGTTTACAACAAAATGTATCAGTATAAATCTGGTCAACAAAAGTCGTAACAGGATTTCCAAAAATAGTGGAAAAACTTTTCGTTTGGGAGGAAAAAGACAACTTAGCTGGTGGTTGCCCATACATTGCTTTATAAAAATAAGGAGTTAAAATTGTAGCACAGAAACATTCTTTGTCTCTCTGAATAGGTAAAAATGTCTGCCAGTTAAACCTTTTTCATATAATATTGCTCACTTAAACAGCGGAAATATGTATTTCCTTTAAAAATTTTGGTAATAGCTGAAGGCTATCAATTTTTAACTAATTATAACGCTACAATTTTCGTACCTTCTATATAAGCATTTTGACTGTGACTTGTAAATTCTCTTAATATGCTCGTTGTAATGAGCTTTTAATGCATTTTAAACTTTGCTTTCTTTTTAGGAAATGATATCTAAAAGATACTAATAAAATAAAAGTATATTAATTTTAAAAAAAATGAAATAAATATAACAGATTGTTTAAGAACAAAATATATTAATGAATGATATGCTTTTTAATAGTTCAAAAAATTACTAGTTCTTTTAAATTGATTATCATCTTTTTTCAGAATAGAAAACTTGTCAATATTCAAAAGGATGTTTTAGAAAAACAACAAGAAATGGCAGAGCTTCAAGATATGGTAATAATTTTATTGTTATCACATTACTTTTGTATTTTGAACGACCTCTTTACTGAACAAACTATAATCCAATATTTTTCATTTAAGACATTTATATATACATTATATATACATATCTTACATTTATATATACATTCTTCTTTTATATGTCAATTTTAAGTCACTGCTGTGCATGTTAAACATTATTTTTTGACAAGCATTACTACCATTAAGTCATATTTAATGCTTGATTCTTCAAAATGCTATTTCAATATTTTATAGCAAGTACATGAATAATATGAGCTACCAACCAATAATTCTAACTTTAAAAATCATATTGATTTGTTCTAATTTTTCTTTGGTTTAAATATTTTTGATATTTTCATGTAAATGTATATTTAATGGAGATATATATTTATTTTAAATATATATTTAATGTATAATATATATTGGTTTGCAAATAAATGCATTTTATTTTGATGGCATTCAATAACAACATTTTAGGATGTTATATTATTGAAAAAATAAAATAAAATTTATAATTGTGTGCAAAAGTTTTTTGATTCGCTTAAAAAATTATCAAGATATGACAAAATATGCAATATGTATAATTAATCTTAAGGAGTTCAAACTTTGGTACACTCTCTTATTGGTAACACTAAACTATTGTTGGACTAAAAATAGTTGGACTAAACTATTGGGTCTATATTTGCCTGATTGTATTTGCCCACATGTTCTGAGATTAAAAATTCAAATCCATCAAAAAAAGTATGTTTATTCAGAGAAAACACACTTTTGTGTCTGATTTTTAACTTAAAATTTCGTCTGCACTAAGAAATTAGCATATTTAAGGTCATCCCCTTTAAACTTTGTGATAATTCTAGTAAATGATACGATCATTAGATCAAGAGTTATTTGTAGCCTAATTCTTTTTGTTTGAAGTACTTTTGAAGGCCAGTATGTTATAAAAAATATTTTATTTCCATGCATTAAATTTACTACATTGCATCAGCAATTTTTTTTTAGTTTAATGTTTTTATTGCAATCAATGAATTTTTCAGGTCAGCAATGCAAAAGTGCTGTATGGTAGTAAAATTGTTGAAAAAAGGAATCAGTTAACAAAGTATGTAGTTATTTTATCATTATTTTTATATGGCATACCTAAAAATTGTCTTATTTCTATTTTTGTGATATTTATTCAACAAAAACATACTACAAGAAAATATTTTCTTGTATTGAAGCTATTTTCTTATATTGCTATAATTAAAATTTAAATATTTTTTCATACTAAAAAAAGGATTACTTTTTATTGATGATTATGAAGCTAAATGTTTGTCTCAAATAAAAAAATAATATATTCTTAATGAATAAATTCATTTATGTATTTCACTTTTCATTCTCAATATATTTGTCAATTATTGAGCAGATTTAAATTTTTCATTTCAACTAATCTTAATGTGTACTTGTTTCAGATTAACTCAGCTCTGTCAAGAAAAGGAAGAATTAAATTCATTCTATGATAGCAGCAAAGTGGAGGGACCACACCTTGAAGTATAAATTTTCTTCCATATTATTTTTAAGCAGTTTACTTATTTTTTTATCATTTTTAACTACAGTGGAATTTGGTTATAACGAGCGCTGAAAATTGTTAAGGTTTTTTTGCTGGGAGGTGAGAAGACATAACAAAATTGTGTGATATCCATTGCATAATATTATGAAAAGCAGTGTATCTAGGAGTTACTGTACCATACTGAAATAAAAAACAAATAAATTAACTATCTGAGGAGAAATTTGGTGGGATGTTTTAATTTAAATATTAGTTCAATATTATTTGGAATCTCATAATTTATTGTTCCTTTAAGATTACATTAATAAATTGTAGAATGTATAATTATTAATGTAACATTTTTAATAGAGTTTTTAATTATATAATTGAAGATTATTTTTGGTAAAAAAAGGCAATGATTGCTATGTGGATAATAAGATGTTTCTATGTATTATCAAGTAGAAATTCTGAAAATTTGTTAAGTGTATATTTGGAAACAATACTGAAAAAAAAAAAATTGTAAAAATGTCCCCTTTAAAAATTCATGGTTTATCACTATATTGTATCAAGCCCTTCATACAGTCAACTAAAATTAACACTTTCTGACAACATCTTTTTAAATATAACCTGAAAATATTGATCTAATCTTGAAATTAAATTACAAATTCAGAAAAAGAGAAAATAATATATTATTATAAATAATATAATTAATTTATAAAGTAAAAAACAAACAAACAATTCTAGCAGAAAACAAAAATTATAAAAATTTAAGATATGTGTGTTAGCAGGACAGAACTTCATCAGGGGACACACTGCCCGCTAACACACTGGAGCCTTTCTGTTGTCAGTGGTGAAGCCAAAAACTGACAGTGCCCCTTTGAGCATTATTTTGAAATTTTTTTTTTCATAAAATTGTATTATTGAAATAAATTGCAATAATGTAATAAAAATATAACATAAATATTCAACACATTAATGGGATTTTTTTATTCACTATATATGCAATGCTTTTAGACAAAATTAATAGTTTCCACTTGTCACAGGATGACTAAATGTAACTCATGGCGATTGAAAATTGACTGCCTAATGCTACCTGATAGCCAAATTATTTGATGAAAATGCACCTTATGTCCATTTTATTATTATAATTATTTTTTTAAAAAAATATGAAGTTATTATAAATATTTTATAATATTCTGAAAATTACTTTATTTCATGCTTGTTTCTGAAAAATTTTCTTCATTTGAAACTTGAACTTTGCAAAGTTTATTTTTTTTTTGAAAAATGTTTCAAGAGAAATGCCTTACATTATTAATGTAAACGGTTTTTTCACTCATTTAAAATGTTCAATTTTTTTTAAAAAGTGGCCCCAGTTAAAAATGATTTAACTAGCTGGAAGCAAACTTTCCAAATTTTGCCCTATATGTTATGCTGGGAATCATAAGGTTAACTTGATCAATCCACTCTGTTTTAAAAGTCAATTACTCACAAAAAGTGCTGTATATATATTTTTTTTTTAACTTTATATCTAGAAGCTTTTAAAGTTCTGTAAATAATGGAATGCTTAAATTTGTTCCTGTTTCCAGTAAAACTACTAGGTGGAGATTCAAACTTTTACTAATATAATTACAACAAAAAACAAAAACATTTAAGTAAAATTTTTAGTCCACAATGTAATTAATATTTTTTTGATTTTTCTCTTTCTAGGATCAAAATAAAGACTTATCAAAGCGTTTGGAGGAAATTAAAAATGAAATATCATCACTTACATCAGATAGAGGTTACATCGTTTTAAAGCTAAAGCAGTTAGAAGAATCTAATAAAAGTAAATGTATTGGGTTCATTTTTCATTTTGTTTTTAAATTTATGAATCCTGTGAGCCTTAAGCACCTACACAATGAATCTGCATGGTGTAGGTAACCAGTTTCCTGTGTGTGAAAAATGTAAGATCAAATATTTAGTGATTTAATAGATGATTGCTTTGAGAATATTTTGATCACACTGGCTTTGTTTAAAAGGCTTAAAAATGTTACTATTTAAAGTTGTATTTTTTATGAAAATACTAAACTTTTCTTCTTTGGTGAAATTATATAAGGTGGTTTTCATTTACTTGGGTATACAAGAAGAGGAGAGTGTTCTGTAATGATCACCTTTAACATACATTTTTACTTTCTTTGTGAAAAAATGGATGCTTGAAGTTTGTTTAAAAAATTTGTACAAACAGTTTAGTTTTTTAATTTTATGTAAAAAATTACAAATTTCAGAAGTAGTTTAGTGTATTACTTCCTTTTTACGCTTCCTTATGGTGGAAATTTTTTACATATTGTACTAAAATAATTCTTTTTCTCTTTATTTTGTTGCTAATCCTAATTTAATTTAAACAACTAATACTAATATATTTTTCTTAATTTACTCTTTAGAGAAAGTTGCAGAAATTGAACTGGCGGAAAAAGAAGAGACAAAGAAAATGGATTTTTTAAAAGAAAATTTTGAAAATGTATACAAAGCTGTTTCATGGTTGAAAGATAACAAATCCAAATTTAATGGAACAGTTTATGGACCAATGTTACTTGTGGTAAGTTAAAAAGTTGAGCTAGTTCTATGGCACTGAGCCAGTGAAATGTGCTCCAAATTGCTTAGATTTTTATAATGTAAACTACTGTTTGATTGCAGCAATGTTTTCATGTCAGTTATATTAAACAGGATTTTGCCGATTCAAACAGGAGATTTGCCGATTTTACAGGATGTTATTTATTTCACTATATTCATTTCCAATCTGATTTGTTGTTGATTAAGAAAGCATTTTCAAACTTTTGTAGTGATTAAATCATATCTGTGACTCGAATTGCCGTAGTATTTTTAATGTTTCGTTCTTTTGAAGAATATTAATTTTTCTTTTTTTCCAGTTAAGACTAGAAAAGAATCATTATTGTAAATTAATAGAAAATTGTATTAATGAGGAGGATTTAATCGCCTTTTTTTGTGAAGATAAAGAAGATTTCAAATTGTTAATACGAACTCTCAAAGTTAATATTGTCTTGACTCCAGAAAAATCTATAGAGGAATATGAATCTCCCACTCTTTCTGATGAGTTCAGGTACTCATTTTTCATAATTATTGTTACTGAAAGACAAAATAAGCAAATTTATTTCTTATTCACTAGTATAAATAACATGAGTTGCAATAGAAATATTTTTTTTCTTGTAAGGTATTTTTGTAATTTATTTTATAAATAATGCAAACCCTCAAATTAAACTTTGAATATAATTTCTGTAAAATAGTGAGTTATTTTCATGTATCATAGATAAATTTCATTTCAGCGTATTTAATGTAAATTTCATTTCAATTCAGCATCTTTTCTAAATTCCGCCTTGCCATCCAAATTATGATTTTCATTTTCTTAAATTGAAATAAAATTATTGGTTATAAATACCCAAAAATCTCTTCTGCTCTTCACCATATTTGGTTTTTGTTTCATATTATTATTTAAAATTTATTTTTGGTATGTCTAAAATAGGGTATAGATGGGAGGGGTACTTAAGCCTGTGTATTGTTCCTATTCCTAGCACTGTTCCTTTTTCATGCTAATATGTGGTTTTTAGTTTTTTCAAAGTTAAATTTTTATTTAAGTTTAATGAAATTGAAAAAAATACTAAATAAATGTTTATTTAAATTACTGAGGAATAAATGTAATGTTATCAGTGTAATTAATATTCTGAATATTGAATCATAAGGATAATTCATATAGTTGTGAATCACTTCATTCTATTTAAGTGTGTGCAAGCCAATTGGTAATTTTAAAAACATTATGTAATGCATAGCAGATGTACAGTGTGCCAAAAAAAAAAATAAAAAATATAGACCACCATGAACGACTTTTGATCTAATGATCAGATCTTCACGATGCAGGACTCAAACTTAATGGTTTCGGGGGGTGACCTTAAATATGCTAATTAATTACGTGTTTTAAGCTAAGGTTAAAAATCTCCTGAGAAATTGATTTTTAAAGAAGTTGTATATCTAAAATTCAATTTCTCAGGAACTATTCAACTGATTTTACACAAATTTTGTACTTTGCTATGAAAACTACTTACTTTGAAATGATGTAAGAAATTGTAAACCTTGCAATTCAAAACTTTTTCTGCTATTCTGAAATAAAATAATAAATATGTACTAAAATTTATTTTTTGCGTGGAATTAATCTTTGATAAACAAATTTTATAACTGTGTGCAAAAATTTTTCAATTCACTTAAAAAGTTTTTCAGATATAATGAAATACACAAAAAATGAAATTAATATTATGTGGTCCAAACATTGGATCACTCTCCCGCCCAAATTATGAGGACCATATTTCCCAGATTGTGGCTGCCCCCTATATTTTGATAATTAGAAATCTGAATTTGTCAAAAAAAATGTATATTTATTCAGAGAAAGTACATTTGTATGTTTAATTTTGTAACTTAAAATACCCTCTGCGCTAATTAATTAGCGTATGGTCACCCCCTCTAATCATTAAGTTTGAGACTTAGAACTTGAAGATCCGATCATTAGATCAAAAGTTATTCAGTGTGATTTGTTTTTTTAGTGCATTGTACTTCTATAAAACTGTATAATAAAAAAGAAATCAATTTTAATTTTAAACCATCTCACTTGATAAATAAAATGAGTATATCATGAATTATGTGTTTTACATTGATGTTTAAAAAAAAAAGCAATATATCATTGTATATATATAGCGTAATAACTTATTTTATTATTATTTTTTTAAAAGGGAAATGGGGGTTGAAGGATTCGTGAAAGACTACATAAAAGTGCCTGATCCTATCATGTGTTTCTTGTGCGAGTGTTATAAACTACACTTGATGCCTGTATGTAGTTCCTATACAGATGATAATGTAGAGTTGTTACTTCAGAATTTCCATTCTGTTGTCACACCAGACATGAAGGTAATTTGTCTACTTTTTTCAGTTTTTGATTGATTGTATGAAAATATTTTTAATTAGCTTTGTTTTTTAACTTGGTATATGTGATTAAACACCATTTTTTTAAAGAATTCTATTTCCCATTTTCTAGTTAATAGAACTCACGAGCCACTTCTGTAAAATAGTTTTTTTTTTATTGTTAACAATGTTGATCTGCATTGTTTGGTTAACTATTTTTTTAAAAGAAAAATATAAGCATAGCTCTAAAATATAGCGCTTTATTTATCTGAAGGACAGTGTTATTTTACTATAATACCTTCCTTCCTTTAATAAAGTACCTACTTATTTGGCTTAGTCTGGTAGTCAAGGGTAGTAGTCATCTTAATGCTCTTTGAACCCTGTAAATGTAATACTGCGAGCTGTGTAGTATGATATATCATCCACATCATTCGGATCATCCTCAGTTATATTTCCCAGACCGTCGCCAATTGCCCATTGTGCAGTTCTGGTGCAACGTAAATAAAGTACCTAAATATTTGGCTTAGTCTGATAGTCAAGGGTAGTAGTCATCTTAATGTTCTTTAAACCCTATACATGTAATACTACAAGGTGTGTAGTATGATGTATTGTCCTGCAAGTAAACACCTTTACAAGCTAAGGAAAAAAAATTCTTCTTGTTGTAGTGAGCATTCTCTGAAATGACAGATGTGTTTGTCTGTTGAATTAACATGACTTTCTTAATGATGAGTGGAAACAGGAAATGTTAGGAAAAAAATTTTCCAGACCGCAATACTCCCTCTCACAATATGAACCCTTTGTTGCCAGATACTTGCTTTAAGTTCTCGGTATACAAATGTGTGTCTGTCTGATTTTGCATAAAGCATAATTGATCAAAAAAGTCACTGAGTACATGTTAAGTTCCGTTATTGACACATAATGCTCTTCCATTTTGCAAAAATGGCATAACTATAGCACTGCAATCTTCTCTGTCATCTATGGCCCTTGGTATATTAAATATGATACAGCAACAATTTTGGGCTCATGTAGTAAATTTTTTTTTGGAGGAATTTAAAAGGTGTCCCTCTCTCTGGAAATCAGAAAAACCTAGAAATCCCAGAGAATTTTGAGAATGCCTTTGGGAAGTCTGGAACTTGTAGGGAAATTTACCATCATCTTTAGAAGTTTTTTCTTTGGAGGATCAGCATTATTGTTTGTCACAATCATTTCAATGAATATGATATCAATAATCACATATAATTTTAACCCCTTGAAGATGGGTGATTCAGAAAAGCATTCGTACAAAATCAGAATCAAGATGTAATTAAATAAAAAACGTTAACTTAAATGTAGTCGTTGCTAATTTGACAGACTTACTTTGCTTTTACTTTAATTATTGTTAGTTTAATTGTGCTGTCCCATGGCGTGGGGGTTTAGGAAATAACACTCTTATATTTAACAAGCACTATTTATTAATTATTTACAACATTTAGAATTTAGAATACAGAAGATGCGTCTTAACGCAACACTAACAGGTGAGGAAAAACTAAACTGAAATTTTTTGAGGGAAAGTTCCAATTCGATTGCGTAGGCGTGATAGTTCGTAAACATAGCCTCGAACGGCTAAATACACAACATGAATCATATATATAATCAATGTTAATTCAAAGTATAACTAAATAGTTTTATTTTGAACAAAGTATTGGTGAATTAAATAAATCAAACAATTATTATAACTCCACCCACAAATAAACTGCTAAAGAAATTCTTTGATAACTAGTTTTATCTTTTTACCCTGATTGATATGGTTTTATGCTGTCACGTATTTGTGACAGTCGGCGCGAAAGGGTTAATGCAAGTATTTCAGTTTGTTATTAGGCATTTTTCCTTTAGAACCTATTTAAAACATTTTCATTAATTATCCTTTTCATCAATGCTGTTTTTATAAATAACTCAATTTCAATTTTTAAAAAACCTAATTCGTAATTTATTTTTCTTAAAAGTCTTAAAGGTATGAGGAAAATAAACATTTTTCAAAAACTAATTCCTATCTATCTGAATCCTTTGATAAAATTAATAATGAAATATTTTAATTATAAATTATGTGAAAGAAAAGTTTTTCTTTAATTTTTAAGCATAAAATAACGATTTTAGTTTGAAAAATTGACGCTTTTAATTTTTTTCTTCTGCTATTAGTTATGCATTTTTGTTACATATGAAAAATTTGTAAAGTTTTAAATTGCAATTTAAATTATGTTAATTTAAATTAGGAAATTTGCTAGCTTTTCTAATTTTACTCTGGTAATCTCTGAGATTTTGGCTTTATCTGGAGAGGGGCCACATGGCATGGTATATTGTATTTTTACCGTAACAGCCACACAAATAGTTTATAAAACTATTCATTTTGAAAATGCGAGTCTGTGAGTGATTACTTTTCATTAACATCAGAAGTATACAGTGGTCATATCAATGTAACAGAAATATGCAGTGTTTAATGATCGGAATAATTAATAATGTTAAGCTTAGCATCTAGTAAAATAATAATTCGACTTTGCTTTCTAAACAGTGTTAAATTACATAGTACATTTTATTTCGTTTATATAATTCATTAAAACTTGTATTTCTATTTTAAATTTTATATAGCTTCTTCAATTATATATGCTTTTTTTATTGTTTTATTTATAGTTTGTCAGGAAACAATCAAAATATGGGGATCAAAATATGAACACTATTATAGATTCTATTCGGTCAGTATAATGTAAAAACATATTTATAGTTATTTATGACAAAATCGTTTCTAACTTCACATCTTTATTTCAATTTATTAATTTTTGTCACTTTATTATTTTGTATGTATATAATTTGTAAATTTAACTGAACTANTTTAAAAAAAAAAAAAAAAAAAAAAAAATCATTTCTTATTCCATTTCATTTATTCAAATTTTAGCTTTTAAAATTGATGAAGAATATTTATACAATAATAAGTTTAATATTTTCAGTATTATTAAAAATTGTTTACAATTGTCAATTTTTTTCTTAACTGATTCAGTGTTTTGAATGGATATATCCAGTTACTACATTTCTGCTTTCTCCTGAATCATACACACATTATAAGACTATAATCCTTTTTCTTTATTTGTCTTCACCCATTCAAAAAATTTTATGTCCAAAATAAATTATGAATCATTAGAGATGTACCTTGGTGATCTGCCCCAAAAGGGCAAACAGTGTGATCTGCCTCCAAACCAAATTTTTATTTAAACTTATCAAGGAACCAAAATTGCAAAAACTTACAAACAGAAAAATAGACAGGAAAAAAAGTCTAGTAGTTTCTCAAAATTTCTGTTAATTGTTCTCTGTCCTATTCATAAAGTCATATTAATATGAAAAGCCAATCTATTAGCTGTGCAATAATATATAGTGTTGAATAGAATAATTTTGATAACAATTTTTCTTATATTCTCTTTAAACCAATTATATTGCGGGTGAAATTAACTTGTATCATTATGCATGTATAATAGCTTGTATCATAACGCATGTATAATAAATATGCATATGTAATTGTAAGTTTTAATTCTTTATTTCATAGGGAGAGTGACATTTTAAGAAGCTCTGGAAATTATTCTGTCAATTTAGAATCACTCATAGAAGATAATCAAGTAAAGTGTTTTTATTTCACACTTTTCTCTTTATTGTTAATTTCAGTTTTCTGTTGTTCTAATTATGATTGCAATATCTTTTTTTTTTTTTTAATAATGTCATTTTTTTAATAGACAGAATGTGAATATAATTAGAATTTTTTCCCCACATTGTTCATGCTTTCATCTAATTTTCTACATGATTTTATTTTCTGTTCAAACATTTGTATTATGGTTTTATAATTTTCCGAATTTATTTCGTTTCCAAGAAATTTATTGCCTAAAAAAAGCAAAATCCATGACTGAGCTTTAATTTTATCATTGTCGTTAAAATGATTACCACCAAGCAGGAATAACAAGTGTTTTCAAACTTTAAAAAGTAAATTAATAAATAACAATAAAGAAAAACACACCGAAAAACTGCGTCGGAAAAATAAGTTTTTTCTAACCCACATGGAAGAAATGATAAAAAATTATTGTTCAAGGAGAAAATCTTGTTTAAGTAATGCTATTAATTTCTAAGTTATTTAATACATAATAAATAAGTAAATGAAAATTATAAAAGCAGCATTTAGAGAGAAAAATAAGTGAATTTCTGAAGAAATTAAAGCAACTGTAGTTTCTTTCAATATTTTACATAAAGGAGTATATTAAGACCTAATTTTATAGGAACTGTTAAAATATTGACTGTTGGACTGTATATAAATAAAAGTAGAATTACTTAAATTCAAATTTCTTAAGTTTTAATTATTGATGAGTTGTAAGTTCTAGAACTTCCAAAACTTTTTCCAGCATTTTTTTCTTAAAATTTAAGTAAAATCCATTAAAATTTGTTTAATGATAGTTTTTTATTTGGAAGCATTTAAGAATAAGAGGTAAATTAGTTTTGCAGTCATCTGCCAATTTAAGTTTGTAATCATACTTATTTAATCACCTTATTAACCTATAATAGTTATATTTTAGGAGAATCAGGAAATGACTGATGTATTTCTGCCTAAGCTTAAAGAGTTGGAGGCAAAAATAGAAGAACAGGAAAGAGAAGAAAACATGCTAAGAGAAATGAAAGTAAGTTTTTTCTTTCATTATTGACATACAGTTAAAAATAAATTTTGATGATCATGTGATTTAAATCATATGAATTTTTAAATTGACCTGATACCAACTTCATCTAAATAACCAGTTCGGGATACTTAATTATTTAGCTATCTTCTGATACCATCAACATAGCAAAAATTTGTTTTGCTTATCTATCAAATTAAGATAGTAGAAATAAAATACTCAAACTGAAAGATGAAGACAAAGTAATAATAATGCTAGCAAATTCAAAAGTAGAGAAAAGCTGTGGAAGGAATGCCACAAAGTTTTAATTTTGGTCAGATGACTTGAACAATGCTTGAACTGGCACTCTTGTTCTAGAGGGCAGCCGCAATAGATTTAGTATGCATCTTGGTGCATAAACACCCTTGTTTTGTCAGGTCGCAAGATCAAACATACTACGCCCAGCCTTTTACCAACAGAGTCTATAATGCCTGTAGCAACTTTACCACCAAAGCATTGTGCTGTAGCATCATAACTTACTTATAGTAATGTGCTGAAGTACTATCAAATTATCTTTAAGTCATTAACTAATATTTTTTCAGTTGCTTTAAGTCCATATGTGTTAGTTGTGTCCAAATGTGTAGTAATTAAGTTAAATGTTTTGTCTTTTTTTGTTTACAGAAAAATATCCAAACTAAATTAAAGGAGTTTAGTACGTATGAGAGACGACTCAATCAAAAGATAATTTCATATGAAAATAAGAAAAAAGAGCTTATAGATGAAGTATCAGAAAAGAATATTGTTATTAAAAAAGTTCAAGAAATGTGTAACTCTGTGCTTCAAAATGAACAAATCATTCATCATATTACAGCTTCTCTTATGGTAAAGTTCGTTATTATTTTACTGTTTGTGATTAAATATTCTGATTAGACTGAACTGTTGAAACTATTGATTTATGTTTTGTTTAGCTGGAATGTTTATAGAATTTTATAAAGGAGTTTCACAAAATTTAATTTGTATTAATTTTATACGCAATGATTGTTTTGTTTTCTATGTCTTGATACTTTTACTGAATTTTTTTTTTTTTTTTTTAAATATTGAATCAACTGCCTTTTTGCATTGTTTTTATTTTCCTCATTATATCTGATCTCTAACATACATTATTTTTTATCTTAATTTTTGACTTTGATTTTAAAAATATCTATCAAAGATGATCATCACAAAGCAACACCTTGTGTATATAAATAATATAATTTCCCCACAATTTAAAAAAACTTTTATCATCTAAATTCTGTTAGTATACCTCATATAATTCTGACCAACCTTGCATTAACTGACTGAATAGTTACTGATCTTTTTCCTTTTTATAATTTTATCTCAGCATAATATCTTTATTTGCATGTAGATACTGACTGAATAGTTATCGTTCTTCTTCCTTTTTATAATTTCATATTCGCCTCCGCTTAATATCTTTATTGGTATGTATTTTAAAATCAAAGATCAAAGTGATTTTGTGCATTCTTGATTCGCCAGAAATATGACTGCAACTCTTAATATACATAAAGTTTAGAAAGTATTGATATCAAACGTTGCAGACTTTATTGACTAAAATTATTTTTCTCAGTACAAACATTTTTCTTAGTCATTCATTAGTTCAATCTCAGAATAACATCTCCATTTAAAAGGTAGTAACTTTTTCTATCAATTAACAGGCAGTTGAAGTTTACCTCAACATCATTTTGCACATACTGGTAAGTTTAGATTCATGATTTATTTGAAGTTCGCCGCAATATACAAAGAGGAAGAGTATTAGAGGATCCGAATAAATAAAGAGATTTATGATGAATGTAAGGAACCATATTTTCTGCCTGTCAATGAGAACAGATATACTGACTACCTTCAGATCAGACAAGTTTTTGCTTAATAAGCAAGTTTCACTCACATTCTTGTTGACATGGAAGTGTCAGCGGTTGGTGAGACATCTCCCTACCTGCCAAATCTCCTGTTTTTTAATGAAAACTCGTTTATTTTACGACTATCTCCTGTTTACCTGTATGTTCTCAAATTTCTCTGTATTTGTTGAAGTAATGCAACAAAAAAAATATTTTTGGCAATAAACTATCTGCTGATGGCAAAAATACTTCTCTTTTTCCTCAACAGATAATGGTATTGCCAGTACTACAGTATGTTGAGTGTTAATAGTTTAAGTAATTTTAAATAATGGTTTAAAGAAATCTTCTTTAGATTAAGATTCATATGAATATTTTTTACTTCGCTAAATGTAAGTGCTTATATTATTTCCAATTTTGAATTTCTCATTTTTACTTGCATGATTATTCTTAATGTATCAAAACTTTACTTGTAGCCTAAAAAATGTTGCAAGTAAAATCTCCGTCTTGAAAGTCTTGCGGCCTTGCGGAATTTTGTTTTTAATGTAAATTTTTCTTCTTTTTGTTTTGTACTTACAACTGTAAGCTTCATGCTATACTTTGAGGTGCAAGAGGAGCTTTAAGTCGTTTAAAAAAAAAAAAAAGAAGTAAAATCTCCATTATTTTATTTCTCAAATGTCGGCAGGTATGCATCTCTCTTATAGGACTTTCAGTGTTAACTTCTATCCAATCTCCAGTAAACTATTCTACCTGAATCGCCACTTTTACTTTGTAATAAGCCTTCAGTTAATAGTAGAATTTGGAGTGCAATACTTTTTTTAAAACTGTTAAAATAATCACATGTTGCATGGATAACACTCTCTCGTTATGACAGGACGGCAAATGTTCGTCTGCTAACATAGTTCTTTCTTAGATAATATTCGCAAGACTTCAAAATATTTTTAATGATGAATGTGATACAATGAAGAATGCAAGATGCAACTTTTAGTAGGTTTAACATAGCCATGGGTGCAAGATAAAAAAGACATGCACTATAACATAAAAAAACAAAGTTAGAGGAACAGCAATAGCAGTATGACATACTGCTATTGCTTGCAACTTATCTTGATTAATTTAAAGTCAGTACCAGCATAATCTGACAATTATATCTAAACATAAAATAAATATAAATTCAAAGCTATGATGGAGTATGACGTTGCACCCGACAACTCCTTCTGGTGGCAAAGCATGGGTTCTCCAAAAAAAAGCATAGATTAAGAAAAGTTAGATAACAATAGTTTATCAATTGAGATGCTTAATTTTAATATATTTTCTCATATAGAATATCAAATGTTTTTTTTTTACATTATCACTAGGAAACAAACGCCATAAATGGTAATTAGTTAATAAAAATCTTTGGGAAATATTACAATTGCTCATAAATGCTTGAAATTAAAGCATTATAGTTAAAAAAAATAGTTAGAATAATGGCATTCAAAAATAGATTATAAAATTGGAAGAATAAGTTACCAATTACCTGTTTTAAGTTACGAGACAGTATCAATTTCAGTGGCAAAATTTTAATAATAGATATTAAGCAACTGAATAAACATAATGCGTTTTTATTCACAACAGGATAAATTATTCTAGTACATTTTGTAACTCCTTTGATGTCACCTTTATATTTTCTGAGGAGAAACATGGAAAATTACGTTTTCTCATTTTGTGTTTTATAATAATTCTTGTAAGGCGTATTTGATTACTATTGTTTAATTTTTGCAATCAGATGAGATGAAAATCACCTCCAAATAAAAAGAAAATATTATGGAAAACAGTGAATGTATTGAAATAAGTTTAAAAAAAAAGAATGCTTGTTACATTCAAAACACTTTATTTTAAAAGTGAGAAGTTGATGCTGCATCACCGTAACGTCACAGACTGAAATCAGAAGTTGGGAATGGCACAAGTCACTTCAAAGAAGTGAGCTAGCCAGGGGTCTGGTTAGAAGAAATTTGGGTCCGTTAATGGACCCTTCGCAAAATATCTTTTCATAAATATGGACCCTTCACAAAATAATTTATCTTTTAATCCAACCCTTCACAGATTTGTTTATCTTCATTATTGTTTTGTTAATCGAATAAACCCTTCCAGGGGAGGAGGGAAGAAAGACGGTATAGATAACTTAGTTTCCTTAAGTTTAAATATTTCTACTTTTACAAACATTGTGTTCACATTCTTGAAATTATTAAAAATGTGAGTGATTTTGTTTCCATTATTCGTCCAAAATGAATATTCTGTGTTGAGCAGCATTGGCTAGTTACCAAATATTTGTATGTTGCATCTCTGATTTAGTAGCAGCAATTGTTGAGCAGAATCTTGTATCTATTTACAATTTAAAAACTTCTTGAAAAGTTTTTTAGCAATTTTTGAAATAACAGGAACCTATTAGCACAAATTCACAAAAACAGGACCCTGGTTGAAGGAATGTGACTTAAGGCTTATTTTACATTCACAAATTATGAATAGTTTTTTCACAATTTTACAAAAACAGGACCTTTTACAAAATGTCTGGACATACCCCTGTTAACCCTGCTATTCACTCTTTAGCCCTAAAATAAATGTAAGCATTTGGTTTGTAACATCATTGGATCATCCCATTTGATCTTGACAATCAACAGAATGTTGCAAAACTTGGGTATTTTTTTCTTTTTAAAGCTAATAATAAACAAATATTTATTTACCGAAAACTGAATTTAACCCTCATCAGAGGTCTACTATTTGCGTTTTATATTCTTTTAGGACTTTTCTGCTACAATGGAGCAAAAGTTGAAATGTTACCTAAAAGCACGATTGACTGAGAAAAAGCTTGTAGTTATGCAAAAGTTGTTGGAAGAGAAAGAAAAAGAACAAAAAGAAGTTGAGGTATATTTTTAATATGTGGGTGATTCTTCAAAAATTTGACATTTTCTAATCGGAAATTCTTGAAAACAACTAGTTGCTTGTAAAAGTTATGGCAAAACAATAAAATTCAGTGATTTCACCTATTATCAGAACTGACTGAAACACCACTTGAAATCATACAAAATGTCATGTTTGGTGCAGGCATAAGGATTTTGACACCTTTGAGTTACCTCAATCAAAAAATAATTAGCATTTAAATTAAAATTAATGCAACATAACCAGAAAGACTTTAAACTTTCATTTTTTAGCATTTAGGATATGCATTCCATGAGCTACTATTTCTTAAAAACTTAGGAAAATAATTGGGTATTTTTGTTTTTTTAAAAATTGTTTTAAATTAAAAAAAGTTTGCATTTTATAGTTGAAAGACCACAATTATTGGTATTTAAAGTTTAATTTTCAATTATTTTTGTTATTGTGTTTTAGTTTAAATGTAAATATCTTTTTTATACATGTATGCAAATTTAAAAGCATTAAAACCAGAAAAACACCAAGCCCTAATTTTTTTTGAAGTGTGATTTTAATTTAAAGTTGCTAAAGAACAAGAAAATTAAAGACTATACGAAAAATTCAGAACTTATTTTTCTAATTTTGAAAGTAATTGTTGCGATTATTATTATTTTTTAAACCCACTGGCGGTTTAGCAAAAGGGCAAGACTAGGAAAATGTTTTTCCGTGATACACTATTTCCCTATCTAATAACATAGAATCCGGTTTTGCTATGCGGTGAAGACTGCAAGTTAAAATTTGACTTTTTACGTGCAGAACTGTCAGTGGGTTAAATGATTTAATTTTGAAAGAATCAGTAAAAAAATAAACCAAATTTAATATTAAAATTGAAATCTTTACTTCATTTTCCTTGAAAGAGCATTATTTTTAGCTTTTTTTAAACTATAAATTGTTGCAATACAGTATCTATATTACAAAAATATGTAAAGCTTTTGAAACCTATGCAAACGGTTTCAAATAGATATAATTCTTTATTTATCTGAATATATTTTTTTTGTAAACCTTTATTTTTTCCTTACAGAAGAATTTATTTCATTACTCAAAAATTGAATACAGTTTCTTTTTTTGGCCACTTTTATGAATTCTGGTTATTTATCTTTATTATATAAATAAATACCTTGAAGTTTCAATTTTAAAAAATAAAATTAATCTATAAAATAACAATTAAGTGTTCCATTTTGATTTTTAACAAAAGTAGGGAATTTTTTGTTATTGTTTAATGTAGAAAATTAAGAAAAGATACATGCTTGGCATCTTTTTTATGTAACGTCACGCTCTTTAAAAACTAATTAGATACTAAAATGCTTTTGTACAGCAGTTTAAAGTATTTGATAGTTCTGTTGTTAAATTACTATACGTAAATATAAACTACAACAATTGAGCTAAATCTTTGTTTGCCTGTGTTAATTGGACTTACACACACTAAAAAAAAAAAAATTAAAACATTTATTAAATTGATTTTTTTAAATATATATATATATATATATATTGAGTGTTTATTATGTATGATATTTAAAAATTAATTATTATTTGCTATAAAGAAAGATCTAGAGGAAGTGAAAGAAAATTCTAATCAGATGATGCAAAAAGGTTATTATTTGATGGTTGAGCTCATTAAGCTAGTGCCAAAAGAAAATTCAACTGAGGTAATGAATTGTATAACATTATATTCTCATACATACATTAAAAAAATTCCAAAATTAAATGTTACTATTTTCAATATATTACTATGTGTTACATGTCAAAGTATTGCTTTCTTATATAATTATTTATTATCATGTCAAAAAACTAGACTTCTTATTAAATTTTTAATATCTTTCAAATTAATATTATTTCAAAATGTTAATTTTTTCTCAATAAAAATGATATACTCATTGACTTATTAATCTGGAAAACAAGATTTGATTTAAATTATATTTAACCTTTTGAAAACCATTAGTTTTTAATGTGCAATGTATTTCTTGTTAAAAAATTTAAAAGAATGTTATTTTAGCTAATAATTAAGTAATAAAATTAAAATCGATCTTATATTTTACATTCATTTACGTATTTTAACTGTAATGCCAAGAGTTTCTTTTGGAAATACAAGTATCTTTAAATGCTATCAAGTTCAAAGTATAACTCAGTCTATCTAGACTTCTAGCTTATAAACTTTAGCGATGATTCTTATATAAAAAAGAATTCTAGATACTATTGATACAGTTTGTATTTTAACTATTTTAGGATCCTGATTTTGATGTGAATTCAAATGCAAGTATACGTCAAAAATTTGAACAGATTATTCCTGCTTTAAAGGTACTTTTCATTGTTATGAAGTTGCTCGATTTGCTTAGTATTTTAATATGGTATTCAAACCATTTGTTATAAAGATCATATGTTGATGGACTAAATAAAACAAAATGTTTACTTTTGTTCTCATTTGACCACTAGTTTGATACAATTTTGTTAAAATATATGCAATTTTAAGAAAAGCAACCTAAATTTACAATTAAACTTATAATTTAAAAAAAAAAAACTAAAATTAATCATTATTATTATTTTTTTATTTTTACTAAATTAATATCTATTTTAAGTAGATGAACATAATTTGATATTCAAGGGTGTTTTGTATGCATTGAGTTCAGCCCATTATCTTTCATAGTATCAATTTATTTCTCAAAGAGTAATAAATTGTAGTACACAATTTCTTCTTTATGTGTACTATGAATTTTTTTCTTTGTTTTTCTTTTTGTCTATTCAAAGTCACCAGACAAAGTTTGTAGCTTCCTTTAATTTTTTGTGAATATTTTTGCTTGTTAAGTATTAAATTAATTTTTAGCAATGAATATCGTGTGTGTTATACTTTGAGTTTGTCTTAGAGTAACATGACTTACATTAATCTTCGTTAGAGTCTCTATTCAATCCAGTCTGTTCTATAATATTTTGGGAAGGCCAACTAGCAAATATTTTATAATTTCTACACATTTAAGTTCTAGGCTGTAAAATTACAGAATGCTTTTAATTTTCATTATTTTTATCAACCTACTTTTTATGACATTTAGTTTTGGTAATTAAAAGAGGAGACTTAAAATATAGAACATATACAATTTATTTAACATATTTACTAGACATAATTGAACAAGATGAAAGAATGGAATCATCCGACTTATTCTGATATGTAATGTATAACAGTGTAGGTGTACAGCTTTAATAGCACCATCAATTATCAATATCTTAAATACCTTTTTTTTAAAATTGAAATTTATACAATATAAATTTTTAATGGCGTGTTATACATATACATATATTAAAAACACATAATCATACCTTTTAAATTTCGTTAATTTTCATTTAAATTTCGATGTCGGATAAGCTGGATGATTAATTGGTAGTTGTACATTATTGGAAGGTAACACAGTCTCTTCAGAGCCAGCTCCTGAATAAAATCTTCAGGTGTTTGAATAAACTCTTAATTTTTATTTTGTTTATCTTTTCGAATTGAAAACCCATTTCTGACATATAATTTACCATTTTTAGAACATTTTGTGTAGGACCAACTTGAACAATTTTACTTTTAGTCTAGGGTTTCTTTGATATTTTTTTAAAAATCTAATATGTGAATTTAAATTAGTAAAGGTTTTAAACTAGAGTTACTCTTAAAATTTTTATTTTGAGTATTTTGTCTATTCCATATAACCTTCAAAAGTTTCTTTAATTGCTAATTTTAGTTTTAATTGTTTGGGAGCATTGATCTTGATTTTCTACAAGCAGTGTAGAAGAGTTTCAGTTTCACTTCAGCTTCAAATATTCATTTCTAGAAATGAAGTTCCTTTATTCCATTTTTAAAATTCAATTTGGTAAACAGGTTTTACCTCTGATACCATTTTATGTCTTTTAGTTGTGGTGATTTAAGGAAGAGACTTTGGACTGAGAATTCATACAATTAGATATATTTGCAAGACATAACGGAATGAGATGAACGAATGCAATCATCCTAATCATTTTAATGTAATGTTCAACTGTGTAGGCGTGCAGCCTTAACAGCATCATCTGTTATCAATATCTTACTCTACTGAGGATAAGTTCTGGCTTTTCTGCAAAAGGGCCAAAATTGGCTCTCGTGCTTCAAAGGAAAAAAGAGAGAAAGGAAAAAAAAAAAAAAACAATCTCTTTTACAGAATTTGGGAAAATTCATTCAATCTCATGGTCTACATGTAAAAGGGAATTGTACTTACATTGTTAATATTTCATGCTTATCAGCACTCATTTTTTTTAACAATTTAAATTAATTAGTTTCTTTTGATATTTTCAAAGGGAATAAAATTTTCATGAATAGTGAGATACCTTTTTTTTTGCAGTTTGAATAAAATAATTTTTCAGAAGTGTATATAAAGTTTCTTGATAAATAAAATTATGTTGAAAGTAGCAGAGTTTTATGCAGTTTAATCTCTCGGTAAATTACGGCTCACAATAAATGAGTGTGTATATATTATTACATTTTATTTTTTAATGTTTTGTTTTTTTAATAAATGCTTATTTCTAGGAAATGTTCAAACCCTATTTGATAAACAATGTATTAGATCTCCAAAGAGAAATTTATAAAATACAGACACAATTGGACAATTCTGAAGATACTACTGCAGTATGTGCTTTTTTTATTTATTTAATTAAAGATAAAACTACAATATTAGATTATATATTATACATAAACTGCATTTTTTAAAATTATTTTTTCTGTAATTTTTTTTATTGCATTTGTTTGAATATCATCATAGTTGGCAGGGTATGACAGTTTGGTGGCCATTGTAATCCACTAGTGATTACATGTTTGAATAGTTCACTACGATGAGAGTCTAATTCAGGGCGGAAGAATAAAATATGTTCAATATTTTTGTCACAGCTGCAGAGTGGAGATTCTACGTGCTTGAATCTATGTAGGTATTCTTTACAACGAGCGTGTCCGGATAAGATTTGTGTAAATTTAAATTTGGGAATGAATTTCACCTCTTCACTAGTGTGGTAGTGCTTCTCGGTCCTCTGTGACCTTTCTACTCGTAACAAGGTATATCTACATTGGGTACCTGGACATATGGGTATTCTTGGAAATGAGCTGGCTGACAAAGCAACATGGGCTGGCCCCAGTGCAATTTTCTGGAGCCCTGAACCAGCTTTGGGAATCTCACCCTCATCATTCAGGGCATCTATTTTCAAGCTCTATGGCAAAATTGCTCACAAGCAATGGAGCAACTCGGATGGTCCAAGACAGGCTAAAGAGCTGAATCGTGACTGTCCTAATGTGCATCAAGAAGAGCTTCTTATTTGAAACAGGAATAGTTTGAGGAAGATCATTGGCCTTCTCACTGGACACTGCACCCTCAGGAGATACCTATACATAATGGATGTTGTATCTGATCCTTTTTGTCGAGGTTGTCATCTTGAAAAGGAGGCATATACTTAGATTGTGAGGTCTATTTTGCTGAAAGATTTGAGCATTTAGAGCAACATTTGATTGAGGCCTGGGAACTGGAAGTGTTTCCTGTCAGGTGTTTGCTGAACTTTATTTCAGCTATAAAGCTTTCTTGTTAATCGTGATTTAGAGTTTTGGTTACAAGAGACCTCTAGTCAATGTGTTTTGCTCTTTGGAGCTTCCTAACCTCTAAGTCAAAGTCTAACAATCACCATCAACCACAGGGCAACTAAGTATAACAAACAGACAAATTTAAAAATTGTCTGCCCCCCCCCCTCTAAAATGCACTCTGTGCATTTTATTACTGAAATTTTTTAATAAATATGGAATTGTTATGAATGCCGTATATTTTCGAATATAGGCCCTAGAATTTTTAAAAAAAATTTCAAAAGCTGAAATGAGGGGGTTAGTTTATAATCAGATCCACTAACTTTGGCAAATTTGAGGAAGACATCGCCAACAAAAATGCTTCTCCTTTCGTCGAGAATTAGCGATAATCAGTAAATATCGCAAAACGTACTTCGAAAACCTAAAAATACGTAACATAAAAATACAACACATTATACAGAGGTGATTGTGCTCCTGAAAAAATCCAAATTTTCAGATTTTTCCCTAATCACGCTCCAGAAGTTTCAAGAAATCATTGATCACATTTATGTATAAAAATTCTTGTATATTTTATTTAAAAATATTAGAACTAGAATTTATACTTGACATCTTTAATTTGCAAATATTTTTTCTGGTAGTATAAATGTGATTGGAGATAAAAGTAAACTTATACATAATTATTCATTTTCTGTATATAATTTATTTAGAATTTAATGTTCTGAAAATATCAATTATTTAAATTTATGAAGACATTAATTTTTTGAAATGTGTCATTAATGATTTTACTCAAGAAATTTTTAGGAATTTTGGGTTGGACTCACAATCAGCTCTGATTATAGTAAAAAAGGGAATGTAACAATTGAAGAAGAAACACATAAAAAGAAAATTTTTTAAGGAATACTCTTATTTTTTTATCTTCTTGGTTACCTATATTTAGTCAAATGAGAATACCTTAAAAAAAAGAACACGCTGAAATCCAACAAATTTTGTATCGGAATAAGATTCTTTGTAAAGTTCAGCAAATTCCTGTTCAGTCATTGGATTTTCTGCATTTTCTTTTTGTCGATGCCTTTAATTTTACTTGTTTCTTCATAGACTAAATGATTTTCATTCTCATATATATTGTTACTAAAGCAACTTTTTATGAAAGATCTAATTACAAGATCAGAAGGATCATGTTTCTTTTATCCATGGTGCAACTGTTACTATATCTCCTGTTACTACAAGAGAGGGGTTAGATTTTTATTTCCAAGTGTAGTGTGCCTAATTTTTCTATGTAGGCTTACATGTGAGTTTTGAATTTTGGGGGAATTTCCAAAGAAAAGGCGCACTCTTTGACTTATACACAGATCGGTTTATATTTGTATTAAACATTATTTTATAATATTCTAAAATTTTTTTAAATTAATTTTTTAAAAATATTTCTTCAATTTAAAAATGAACCTTGTAATGTTTACCATACTTTTAGAAATGCATCGAAAGAAATTTCTTTTATTATTAACCCTTTCCTTATGGCACTGAGAATGTGAAGCATGTCATTCCAGCCAATTCGTCCAGCCATAAAAAAAGGTTAATACGAATAGTTTTTTAAATCTTTAAAACTTTCGAATAATCTTAAAAAGTGAATGAAAAATTGGCCATATGTTTAAAAATGTCGCTGCTGTTAAAAAGATTATGACTAGCCCCAATTTTGTCCTACATAATTTTTCGCATAAACTAACTAAATAGAAAAGTTATTTACCAAAAAGGTTATTCACAAATCATAACAAGCTAGAAGATAAGTAATACAAAAACACTAATGATTTAAATAATAGCAATGTTATGTTACAGTAAAATTTTTATGTAAATTGAGTATTTAAAAACACTTAAATATTCAAACTTCACCAAAATTTTATTTGGTTTTTTTGTTACACTTTAGATTAGTTGGGGCTAAATGTAGGTAATTTTCTTATTGCTTTTTTTAATTTTGCTTTTAGGCTTTTAACGAATTTAATGAAAGAACACAGCAAGTGTTAGGAATTGAAAAAAAAGTTGAAGCATTTCAAATGCAAGTAAAAGAAATAGAAAAAGACATGGCCAGAAAGAAAGAAAATTGGTTACCTGATTTACAAAAACACATTACTAATGTGAATAACAAATTCAGTAGATACTATGCAGAACTTGGCTGCGCTGGAGAAGTTTGTCTCGACACTTGTAATAATTCGGTAATACATTATTTCATATATTATTTTGTATCTAGTATGGTATTATTCTTATTTAACTTTTCTTAGAACTCTTGACTTTGTTCTATTTTATTTAGACATAAGAAGTTAAAAAATATCTATTATTCATTTTCTTTTTGGCTTTTATGTTAGTTTTGCTGGCTGTTGAATATGATCACATAGCTGTCATGTGTGACAATTTGAATATAATCACATGACTGTCATGCATGCCAATTTGAATATGATCACATGGCTGTCATGCTTGTAACATTTAACTTTCTTCTAATGAACTATTTTTTTAATGTCTCCAGTTTTATTGCCATTTACGTTTCTAAAATTAAATGTTAATGCCGTACAGTATTCAACTGTCATAGTCCTCCTCAATCATGTGATCAAATGTAATACAGTAGGGAACCGATTATCCGGAACGATTGGGACCATCGTTATTCCAGATAACTGATTTTTCCGGTTTTCTGAATCGCTAATCAGAAAACTCGAAAAAAACGGCGAAATCGCCGTTTTTTTATTGCTAAACCCAACTAAAAAAATAAATAAATAAATATTTGAAAATAATCTTAAACAGAAGAAAAAATGATGAAGTAATACACTAATAATTATTTCCAAATTGATGGTAAGGTAAACATCTTTCAAAAAAGAATGAAAAATCCTAAAATCTTATGAGGAAAAATTTTTTTTTAAAAATGGCTGAAAATTTATCGAATTTCGTTCCGGTTTTTTGATTCCCGGATAACGGGTTCTGTACTGTTCTACCACAAAAACAAATTTAAATATAGCGCATTCTGCATTCTTTACTAATCTGTTAATTTTTATCTCCCTCCCTGATGGGTGGTCTTCACATTATCCTCACTCTCATCTTGTAACATCCACCATGTTAAAGGGAGCAACCACAAATGATTTGTAGTGAACAAAATTATAAGGTGGATTACATTTCATTGATTGAATCAGTAGGATTAAAAAGTTCTTTGCGCGTAGCCTAAGGCAGTAATCTACATACTTATCCATTCTTAGTTTTGAGGATCAAAATTTAAACAGAAAATAACAACTGTCTGTACTCATTTTATTACAGAGTTTATCATCTGAGTCAAAGAATTCGAAGTTTTGTTAAATTTTATAAGAAAAAAATGTAGTTTTGCCATCTACATATAACAGTTTATGTTACAAAATACACAGTATTTCTTCAGTTCATTTTCAATTAGATTGAATATTCTGTATAAAGTGTGTCTCTTTCAATTTTCTTTTTATAAATACTTATATTGCTGTAAAACACCACTATTTAAGATGAATAATTAACCTTGTTATTAATTTTTTTTTATTAATTATAAGGTTATCTTTATTTTAAATATTGTGTTTCTTTTTTAACATTTTGACAGGATGACTTTCTAAATTATGGACTTCAAATAAATGTGAAGTATAGAGACAGCGAACCTTTTGCAGAATTGTCTAAAGCGCATCACAGCGGTGGAGAGTGTAGTGTGGCTGCAATAATATTTATTCTTTCCCTTCAAGATCTCATGCAAATTCCCTTTAGATGTATTGATGAAATTAATCAGGTATTGTTTGCAATATCCCTTTTATATATATTTTTTTAATGGAAACCCTTTGCAGTAGATGAAAACTGTGGAATGCTAGACTAAAGTGCGTCCTGCAGTGGACTGTGGTATTAGGCTTCATTAAACCTTTTTTTTGTGGAATGCTAGACTTTGCGCAAATCATTGGGCTATTTTATACATGTTTTTGGTTCATCGTCAGAAATATTTTCCAGACCGTCGCTAATAACCCATTGTGCAGCTCTGGAACGACGTGAATGAAGCACTGCTGCTACTGTTGCACAAAAGTGACTTAAAATAGATATACTTTCAGAGGTTAAATAATTAATTTCATATAGTTTAAACTTTTGATGTAGTTAACTTTGTTCTATAAAAATGCTAGAATCACAAAAAGATTTAAAAATATTTATTGTGAATTAAGATTAAAATTCATTTTCATTATGTTCATCTCAAAACCTGAAGAAAAAAAGTATTACTGCTGATATAAAGCAGCTGTTTAGAAAGTTAGAAACACAAATCAAGCAAAAAAGAACAATTTGTAAAGATATGTATGTTAGCAAAATGACATGATCAGGGGACACACTGTTTGCTAACACAAAAGAGCCTTTCTGTTGTCAGTGGTAATACCAAAGAGTGACTATGCCCCAAGGCCCCATAATGGATAAACTAAATAAGAAAAAGGAATCGAAAATTAATATCAAATCTTTAGAAAATTCTTCAGAAATATTTATAGTGCTTTAATTAAAAATTTTTTGCATATACCCAAGTTATCAGTAAGTAGGGTCTTAAAGGTTGAACATTTATTTTGTTAATAGGAGAGAAAGTGACTGACATTAGATGTAAATTAAAGTTAACCCTGTAACAGTTCTATTTACAGTACAGATAACCATGGCAGGGGCGTACGCAAGGGGGGGGGGTGTTTAAACCCCCCTTGAGCTCAGACAAAGTGAATTTACAAAATAATACAGACAAAAATAAAAATTTTAGTGGAAATTATGCGGGTTATTATTTTTTAAGACTATATATTTTTATTTGGCTATATATACTATATATTTCTCACGGTATTTCTCAGAATACTGATAAAACATTTACTATAATAGGGTTGTCTTTTTGAAACCAAATTCACGTGATACTGTTACGGGTGAGCCCCGATCACTGGTTCCTTTCTGTCCTGCCAGTCGCGATAGTTTTCGAGACTGGCTGGCATTCGCGAGGTCTGGAATCCTAGACGTTCTGTCGTCTTTGAGACAATTCGAGAATTTTGTAGATGCGGTAATAAAATTATATGAAAGGGGGAACGGAGTACAGTGGAGTTAGTTAGTCAGACTAAGAGTTATCTCTGCTGCTTGTCTTTCGGAGCTTGTTTCTAAATCTGTTTTGTTTTGGAGACACTGTGCTCGCTGAAGTTATTCATTCCAGCTCGAAACTTTGAGATCGTAGCTTAGCGGATATTTCTGTGCCAATATATATCTATAAATTTTTGCTGTTCTTGGATCTTTAGGATGTCAAGATGCAAGAATTTAACAATTTTTAATTACTTTGAGAAAAAATCACGACCTGAAATTAGTGAGGTGACAGCATCTAGCATCAATGTAAGTTTTTCTGTTGAACAGAAATGTGATACTTCTGTTGAAGAAAACGTTTCTAGCGTAACAGAATCTGATGAATGTGAAAGCGGCCCTCAAAGTGTTACTTCCCACCCATATGACATTGGACTTTTTTCAGAAGTTAATACATGCGTGGATAAAAAACTGGATATACTTAAAAATGTTTGGGAACCCAATCCAGCATTTGTTTTTCCTGAGAAAGGAAAAAGAAAATTGAAATTTCTAAACAAATTGCTTTATTGCTGGAAATGGCTTGCATATTCAGAGGTTAAGGGTGGTGCTTTTTGCAAATTTTGTGTACTTTTCGCCCCAAGTGGTGCCGGTTCTGTAAAGCAACCTTTAGGTCAATTGTGCAATGTAAAATTTGACAACTGGAAAAATGCTGTAGAGCGATTTTCTGAACACGAGAAATGTCTTTATCACAAAAAATCGATCAAAACTGCTGGGACATTAAACAATATTTTGCTTGGAAAGATGAAACCTGTGGATGAACAAGTTGACAGGGCAGCAAGCAGAAGAAAATTAGAAAATAGAAAAAACATTACTCCAATCATTGAAACCATCCTATTTTGTGGAAATCAAGGTCTCGCTCTAAGAGGACATAAGGATTCGGGAATAATTGCTGAACAACCAGGTGAAGAGAACGACGGAAATTTTCGGGCATTGCTTCGTTTCCGGAGTAAGAACGATTCGACTCTTAAGAACATTTTAGAGTCAAGCAGAAAAAATGCTCAGTATACCAGCCCTCGATTTCAGAACGAAGTTATTGAGGTTTGCAATATTTTAATCCTGCAAAAACTAGTCAGCAAGATTAATGATGCAACTTGCTTTTCCATTCTTGCAGATGAAACAACTGATATTGCAGGTATAGAGCAATTATCGTTATGCGTTCGATATGTCGATAAAGAAAATTTTAACATCACCGAACAGTTTTTGCAATTCATTCCGGTGCATGACTTAACCGGAAAAGCAATAGCAACAACAATATTAGACCAATTACAGTCTATGAAAGTTGATATAAAAAAGTTACGTGGACAGGGGTACGATGGTGCTGCATCAATGAGTGGAAAAATTAATGGTGTACAAGCCCACGTAAGAAGTATTGTCCCATCAGCACTCTATGTACATTGCTCTGCTCATAGCCTCAATTTGGCTGTATCAAATGCATGCGAAATAACTGGCATTAGAAATTGCTTAGGGACAATTAAAACATTATACGACTTTTTAAATACGCCAAAAAGACAGTATGTCCTATCTTCAGCAATAGAGGAGATGGAAACCAGCTCTAAGAGGGAGAAAATTAAACAGCTATGTGCAACCCGTTGGATGGAAAGATACGACTCAGTAACCGCTGTGGTGGAACTTTTCGAGCCTATCGCCGAAACACTACAAAAAATATCAGAATGGAAGGATAAGGAATCAGCTACCCAGGCTAATTCTTTACTGTGCACAGTATCTAATTGCCAGTTCGTAATATCTCTTTTGTGCATTTACAAAGTTTTCACCATAACAATCCATCTCTGTAGATACCTACAAAAAACAAGCATAGATTTGATAGAGGCAGTGAGTCTTGCAGAAGATGTCATTAAAGATCTAAAATTAATGCGTGAAAATGCCACTGAAACATTCTCTGAAATATTCAGCTCTTCTTCTCTTATGCTAACAAGCATTGGATCTTCCACTTCCATGCAAATCCCTAGAATAACAGGAAGACAGAAAAATCGCGATAATTTTCCCTCATCGACACCGGAAACATATTTCAGAGTTAGTGTTTTTATTCCATTTATAGAAAATTTTATAACACAATTAAACTTAAGATTTGTATCGCATCGTGATATTTTGAAAGGATTTCAGTGTCTTCTACCTGCCGATCCTTTCATTTGCCAACCTTCAAACATAAAGGCTTTTGAAGCATTAGTGGAATTTTACGCTGGAGATTTGGATACCTGTAAAGAAAGCCTTAAGTCTGAACTAAAACTCTGGTATAAAAGATTAAAAAGGATTAGTGAAGACGGAGGTAGTGTTCCAAAAACTGCGGCGGATGCTCTTGGAATGTGCAATAAAGATATAACACCAAACATTTTCAAACTCCTAGAAATATTGGTCGTTCTACCTGTTTCAACGAGTGCAAACGAAAGATCCTTTTCGACTTTGCGCCGTTTGAAGACTTATTTACGCAACTCAACGGGAAATAATAGAATGAATGGATTGGCGCTCTTAAGCATTCATAGAAAATTTACCCCAGCTGTCGAAGACATTTTAAACGAACTTGCAAAAAAACCCCGTCGTTTGGATATTACAGTATAAATCAATAAATTTTTAGCGTGTTTGTATACTGGTTTAATTCCCTATTTGTTGGTAAGTCATTTTTTAGTTAAATTCATTGGTTTTCTATGGAATATTCACATTTATATGGTTATTATTTAGGTAGCTGTTACAGTATGAGTAGTTTTTTCTGGCTTGATTTATTCCTACTTTTTAATAAAAATAAAATATTTTACCTCTTATTATAAAAAAAATTATATTCTTAAACTTGAAAAATAAAAACAAAATTTAACTAAATTATGTTGTCTAAATAAAAAGCCAAAATTGTCTAGCTGTCTAAATTAGGGAAATAATAGTGCTTTATAACACACTCGAATTTCTTTTAGTAATTTCTGAAAATTATGAACCTCCCCCTTGAAAAAATTCTGCGTACGGCACTGAACCATGGCAATCTATCTCAATGAAACTTGTTACAGAACGCCATCTGGTGACATTATAGTCAGTTCATCTTCAGCCGCTAACTGCAAGATAGTCTTTGTCGCTAAGAATGATAAATGTTTCATTGTATAATTTTTTTTCCTTTTTAAGATGCTGTATATTTCTTTTTGTGACTTTTTTATGTGCTCTATTTTGCGTGTGTTAAGTAACCAAGAGCTAGTTAGAATCATAATTTCTAGCACAAAGATTAAGCTCAAAATTTTAGCAATTTGGGGAATGATTCGGAAAAAAATAGGATAAAACAAATTATTGAAATTCAAATTAGAGCTTTATAAGATTAATTTTCAATTAGTAAGTAATTGATTTTTATATTGAACTGTTTTTTTTTATTGTTAAATGTTAATGAATATACTTTTTAATAAGATTATTATGCTTTCTAGGGCATGGATGATGTTAATGAACGAATAATTTATGATTTGATAGCTCTGAATATTAAAAATGAATTTTGTCCACAATATTTCCTTTTAACTCCAAAGGTAATTGACTTTGTTCAATGTGAATTGTTTAATTTAATTACTAATAAGATTACTTAAAATATATTTATTGTAAATAAAACACTTTTCCTAATCTGACAATGAATATTCATAGATTTATTTATTTGAAAATAAGTTGTACAATTTATGCAAACATTAGTCAGAACAAATATGATAACAACAATGTAATGGATATATAACTATTTTTTTAAATAAAAAGTTTTTTTAATTGAAAAAAAAATAGAATATGCTTCATAAGTTATTTTATTATGTATCCTTTTTGGTAAACAATATTTCTCCACCTATTTTCTTGTTCAGGAAGAGAAAAATACTAAGGTTAAGATTTTATCTCATAATTTCTAATAAAAATATTCTTAGATTTTATGATAAAATGAATATGTAATAATTAATGTTTACAGTTTTTTTGTTGCAAAAATTCATGAAAGGAAAGATAATGATAGAAATATTTACCATTCTTTTCAAACCATGAAGCTTTAAACTACAATTCACTAATCTGTGTTGCACTAAAAATCACACTTTATTGTGGCTGTGCTTTCTAAGCTCATGTCATTTTGTTGTCACAATATCATGCTGTAATAATAATAATAATAAAAAGAAAAACGATTTAAACATTATTTTAAATTAAATCAATTATTTTTATTGTAAGCATAATTGTATAGTACTGTATGAAATATTGCATTGTTTGTTAAATTATTGTAAATATTTTAGCACTTTAGTAATATGGTGATTCCAAAAAGCAATATGTGTATCACTTTTAGCAATTACCCAATTATTGATTCTTTTCCAAAAAGCAATTTGTGTGAATTTTAACAAGTATCCTATTGGACATAATATATCCTCAGTGGTAGAGGTATCATGGGTCAGAACTCCTTTGTTCTCGGGCTAACAATAGGAGGTTTTCCTCACCATACAGTAAATGCAGGTAAGTTCCATCAAGAATTTCTCCATGAAGGCTAGTTTGCCCTCATGCTTGATCCAGAAGTACTCTTGTATTCTAGGTTGTGTTCAAAATTAAAAGACCTTTGAATTGAACATTGATAGCTGTAAACTCAGAAATGAGTCAGCTGTTCAATGCTGCTTATAAAATTACCCTATTGATTTGATTTTTTTCATGTTGATTTACATATTTTTTTCTCTATGTTATTTACTATTAAGATTTCCATTGCTTTATATCAATCTACTATAAATTTATTTTCAATCAAGTCATATATTCAAGTGGTCTTGTAAGGGAAGGCTTTCAGTGTTCTGACCATGTGCGATTTTGGATAAATAAAAACGAAGTATATTGCAGACACCGCAACATTTATTATATACAATTACTTACAAGTTAATATAAAATATATACATCCATTAATATTTTTTACATCCCAATCTATAGAACGTCAAGATAGTAATATATTATTGAGTTGTCTTAGCAACACGTTTTTTTATTTTTAATAAAACTAAATTTAAATGCTTGTTATTTTATTTCTCTTGCGCACCACAGTCTTATTATTTCTTTCCTTGAAATAGGTACAGTTAGAATTCAACTGCTATATTAATTAAAATGTTTAAATTAATGCTTATTTAAAATTCTGTTGTCTTTTTTTAGTTATTGCAGGATTTGGAAATAATGGAATATAAAGACATAAAGGTACATATCATATTCAACTCAAGCTTTTTAGAAATGGACCTAGATGTTAGGAAACACATTGATCGACTGAAGTATCTATCTGACAATGAATCCAATGACTATATGTCATCTGAAAACTAAAGCCAGTATCTGATTACCAATCTGACTTCTGAAACTTTTATCTTTTTTAATTTGTTTTAGTCATATTTTAAATTGAACACTTAATGCTTTCCCCACTGAATGAATTTCCCCTTTGTTTAAGCTAGCCATCGTGCAGTTTTTAACAGCTAAATATTGCAAAACGGGGTGGTCTTTTCAATCTGCTAGGCATTGATAGTTTACAAAACAGAGATCTCCCCAATCAGCTGGCAAAATAGAATAAGGGATGATTGGCTTATTGATAAATTAATTGCATTTTACTAAGGATGAATTGTGATGTAACAATGAAAATTAATGTATATTAACTAATACAAAATATTGTTATAGAATATATTTTATTAATTGTTGCTTATGTTAGTAAATATATTTTATTAATTTTTAAATATTTTATTCAATATATTTTATATTGATATAAATAATTTTACTTCGAACATTAATGGTTGATAATTTAAATTATTAAATGTTGATTTCAATATGAAATATTCTTATATCTAGATTCTTTTTATCTGTAGATTTTATTGATTCTTTACTTAAAATCTTTTATAGATTTTTCTTTTAAATTTGGGAATACCTGTCAATCTAATTCATTCCAGTAGAATTGATAACAAAAGCTTTTTGATGCAGTAATCATATTCAATAAAATCCTTTTGTTTAATATACAGCATAAGTATTGCTTAGATAATGCAAGTTCTAATAATTACATTAATTATAATTAATGTGAAAGATGATTAGTAATTTTAAAAATAAATAAAACTTAAAATTTACGGAAATGAATAAAAAATTAATTTTGTAGCTTCTAAATTTTACTTTTTTTGAAGATTTGTTTTAGTGGTGTTAAAGTTTTTGCTTTAATATGTGTGAATTTTTATATATATGTGAGTTATATATGTGAATTTCTTTTCAGTTTAATTGATTTTGACCGTCATAATATACAATTGTTCTTTATAATAAAATAAATTTTTATAGTTTTTAAAATTGTTGGCAAAATTTAATAGGGTTTTTGCATACTATAATGTTTTTATTTTGCTTTGTCACTGTCACAACCTTCACTGTTTAGCAAAAAGTTTTAAAGTTGGTAGCTGTGCAATACGGTTTTGGTTTTGAACTTGTTACATTTGCAACTTGAGTTTTGGTATGATTCAAGTGGCAAACGTAGCCTGTTTATTTAATTTTGTTATCAATCTTTCTTAAATGAATTTACTATGTAAAAAATGTAATAAAACTTAGGTATTAAAACCTAAGTATTCATAAATTAGAAGAGTTAGCATAATTTAAATTGTGATTAAATCATTTAATGTTTTTAAAAAAAATTATTCATTTAAATCAACTGTGATATTTTTCAAAAATCATTGATTTAATCCATTAAAGCCAGTTGGTTAAAAAACTTGCTATTTCTTTTTCTCAAATAGAGAAACTGTTAACACATTGGTATATTATCAAATGCTTTGGCCATTACATATTGGTTCTCCAATATTTCTCTACTTAAAAGCAAGAAGATAGTCCTAATGCGAAGTAGTCATACTCCGGCCATTCATACAAAGAGATCATGTAGACGAGTCAACACTGTAACACAAGTATTTAGTTCTTAATTTTTATCTCAGAAAAACAAGACATCACTGTCTACCATGATAGAGTAACATAAAGCTCTTAATTGTAGACTATAATGAAATGAATTATTATTTTTTAAACCCAAGTTGGTATTTAACATAAAAAAATTTCATATAAATATCAATTAAGATTTCATAAATAACAGTTTTCTACACTTATATATTTGTAATGTATGTGATACTTGTAGATTTTTGTATAATTTAGTACATGTTCTTTTGATACCATAATTTGTTTTTACAAAGAACTATAGATTTAATTGAAAATCAAAATAATCCTAGAAATTAGATAAACTGCTATACAAATATTTTAAAAGCTTTTTATTATTAATAATCAAGCGACTCTGATGAATGTTATATAAAATGTCTACATTATTATTTTTTTAAAAAATTGCATATTAGGGGCCGGGATAGCCTTGGTAGGGCACTGGACCCATGTCTAAGAATTTGTGGATTAGATCCCTGCCAACCGAAGACTCCCCAAGTTGTAAACGGTGACTGATGCACGTGAAATCTGTCAAGTCACAAAGTCCTCCATGTTCCCATAAAAAATCAATACCTCTGGGGATACTAGACTGATATCTCAACAATTCTGAAATATTGTTTCATATTTTTTTTGATATTGTTATTCATATATTATATATTTTAGCAAAAAACTTTTTATTTTATTTATCCTCTGTTTCTTCAGTCAAAGGGCAATTTTCTATTTTTACTTGTAATAGTTATAAATAAATTTTATGAAAGAATAAATTATGTTTATTGCTTCAGTTTCTCTGTAGTTATGAATTCTTAAGCTATATTAATTTTATTATGTAATTTCAGGTTTTTTTCAAACTGTAGGGCATTCCCTATAGGGGGAGGGGCATTTCATCGAAATTTAGATGGCATTATTAAAGAACATTTATACATATTCTTGGATGAAAATTTTTTCTCATACCCTTTGAAATGTACGGTGCACAAAAAAACAACGGATTTTGACTTTAATGATGTTATTTTTAATAAAATGATTGAAGCTAGGACTCAATCTTAATGGCTGAAAGGGTTGATCTCAAATATGCTAATCATTTATTTTATTATCATAATATGCTATGAATTTTTAAGACAAAATAACAAAAAAAAAAATCCAGTCTAAAAAATAAAATTTTTTTCTAAAAATATAGTCCCTTAAACTACTCTTTACTATTGTATTTTCTAGCGCAAATCGATTAAGGGGTTATCAGGGTGATCAAAAATGTCTTTTTTTTAAAAAACTAAAAAACACTTTTTTTCTAAAAATATAGAACCCTTAAACTACTTTTTACCATCGTATTTTACAGCACACCCAACATTTAAGGTTTTGAATAATTAACAAAATTCATTAAAAATAAATATTTTAAACAGAACTTTATCAATAATTTTATGAGAGCATTGTTGACACTAGCACACCAAATTCTAGCGCAAACCGATTAAGGGGTATTGGGAAGAACAAAACTGTGTTTAAGGGACAATTTTTTAAGTTAAAACCATCACGGTACCATACCCACAAAAACTCAAACAAAAGTGTCTTTGAAAAAAAAACATAACTTTAAGAAATAAATAAAAAACATATATCAATCTTAACTTTACTATCATAGATCATTCAACACACTTTCATTGGTAAGCTGGACACTAATTTTGTCATATGTTTAATACCCTTCTGATATTTTATGAATACAAGTGATATCAATAGTCAAAGAGCTAACAAAATGTGTCACATTCTTCATTTACATCTATTCCAAATGCAAGAGATGGGTAAGGACGAGCTTGCAATCCTAGATTTTTCTGTTCATCTTTGTTAATAACTGGCCAGTTCCCAGCAGAAGCTTTTAACCTCTCTAAAAATGTTTCTGCGGCATGGTTAGATGAGTTCTGCCAATCGGGTTGGATCATATCAAAAAGTAATAATTCGACAGTTCTGCCAGCTTCGAAATGTAACTTCTCTGGGTAAACAAGATCATGTCTTACATCAGATTGATGACAAAGGAATGCAAATGGGCTTGAAAAATTGAAGTTGTTATTATTCAACCGCTCCAAATAGCATGTGCATACGTGAGCAGCAAGTGTTATTAAATCAGCTTCTCTCTTCTTTGTGCCAGTGCCTCCCCCCAATCCATTCGTACATAATAGGATACCATTAACCAGACAAGCACCACGGAAACCAACCATTGGGTTAAATCTGTCCACAGAATAAATTTGCATGCCTTCAATTTCTTTTTCAATCCACTTTCGAGTGCAAGACAATTTCAGAAGTCCATTTAAGCAATGGTCAAATGCTGACATTACTGGATCAGTCAACATTGCACCAAGAATCAGCTGTTTTGTTTCATGAGAAATGATCCCCACTACCTCACTTGGTGTGTGCGTTTGCTCCTGTGCTGCTTCCACAAAGGTCGCAATGTGCCTATCAAAATACTCATCAAGACTCAGTTTTCCATCCTTTGGGAACCTATCAAAATTTTCTGAGTATTTTTCATAGATTCTACAAATGTCTGTTTTGGTCATATGTAAGAGAACTTGAACATATGTCCTTTTCGTCAGGTCAGAAAAATCATCCTTCAAAAATACAATAACTTGACGACATGTTTCTGGTTTCAAATGTAAGCCTTGTTGGAAAAGGTTGTAAATTACACCGTTTCTTATCGTATCCACTTGAAATTCTTTCATTCCCACACAAAGTTCTTCATGTATTGGAGTGTGAGGTGACTGTGCTTGTAAAAATTCCACAAGATCAAAGTTGTCTTGTAAAACATTCCTTTTGACCAATTCAAAATATTGCATCTTGGGGCATTCAAACTGAAACATAAGAGAAAAAAAGTCGTTAGTACTTTTGCTTGAAAACCTAATAGAGGTAAAAAACGGGGGAAAAAAAGAAAGGATCTGGTTATTCTAATAAATAACGATAAAAAGCTATAAATCATTCAAACAAGATAAAAAAAATAAATTAATGTTCACAAGAATAATAATGAAATTACACGAACGAGAAATCGTAACTAATTAAAGATCATCCAAGTCTTTTAATGATCGACATTTTTTTCTATGGCTCTTGAAATTTAACTTCTTTATGCTTTACATGAGTTAACCCTCTTTTAATTGTTTCAGTTTTTTTAACTGCACACATTGTGCGTCCTGATGGACTAGCATGTAATGCGCTTGCTCCAGAGGAAATATGTAACTTTAAAGCAAATCGACCATAATTATCACAGGGTGGTAAATTAAAATTCCTTTTTGATTATAGCAGGGTTGGGTTTTTGACGTCAAAAAGTGGTTTTTGACATGACAAGGGTATAATACTGGTTTAAACTGTCAAAAACCCGTCAAAAATGTCAAAAACTGAAGTTTGCCAAGAAAATATATAAACTTCAAAACTACCAACAGTTGCCATGCATTATATTGAAATTTAATTATACTATAGGTAATCAGCAGGTTTTAAAATATTTTTTAATTAAAATTAAGGTAAAATAACAGATTTAAAATCTCAGAAATTTATATTCAAATGCATGTGCAGAAAAATTTTGCACAAAAATTGTCTAAATATTTATATTTAAAAAAAAAAATTCTTCTTTTTGATACTTAAGAAAATGAAAAGTTTATTATTATGCATTTTTGACAAATAAGGAACATATAACTAATACTTATAAGGAACTTACAAGACATGCTGTATAAATACAAACTTGATTGATACAAGGGTATAAAAAAAATTTTTTAATGTTATACCGAATATCTTTATTATCCAGTGTGTTAATTTGAATTTAAAAGTAGTTATATTTATGAATAATGATAAATATAATTCATATCGTTTATTATATTTATTTATAATTATTACACTTATCATTCTAAAAAAATTTTTATCTCTTAATTTTTTTTTCTCCACTTGTATTAAGAATACAAATAATGCATATCTTGAAAGCAAGAAGTAATTATTCAACAGCTGAATATTTAGATATTCAACAAAACTATATCGTATTCAGCAAAATGAAATTCACAAGTATTTGGATAAACTAAATTTTCAGCATAGTAAATGAATAGGCTGAATATACTGTAAATCGACACTAACT